GCGACTGAGCTTGTAAGAGGCGACTAACGGGATCTGGTGGTCAGGCTCGCTGACTTGGTTGATGCATGTCATCGTATCCCAATTGCGTGGCTCGATGCTCATGATGTCAATCACTGGATTGTCTGGCCCAGAATCGATTATTTAAAGTCGGCTGACATATAGCTGAAATATTGCTGTCTGCGGCGTTAAACAAACAAACAAAACAAACTCGTTTATGTTTACTTTCCTCTCTGGTTTAAAGCTAATTTGAGGGGACAAAACACATGCAAAGTCAAGTCAATTGTTCACCTACAGAAACACGGAAACACATGATACAAGTCCAAATAGGGAATTGCATCGGGCATCATTTTTGTCACTGATGCGTCAAATTTAGAAATGTCACCCATATATCTACCATTAAGCTTTTTGAAAGCTTTACTGAGGCCATGAATGTTGTAACCCTGATAAAACAACTTTTCAGCAAAAGCAAGAGCTCTTTGAAATCTTCAATGAAAGTGCAAGCTCGATTGTATTTCAAAGGTTGTGAAATGTAGACACCAAAGGCTGGAACTGATGGGGTGTGTGAGTGAGTGAGTTGGGTTATAACGCCGCTTTTAACAGTATTCCAGTTATATCGCAGAGTGTCAGCTTAATGTGGGAGGAAAGCCCGAAGTGAAGCAGGTCTCAGACGTTTACCACTTCGGTGAAACCCACGAGCACGGGTATGGTGCTGACAAACCTAGAAACATAATCGGGGCGAACCGGGATTCGAACCCACAATCATAGGTTTCTGGTGTGCCCAAGTGACGCAACTCTGCACAGCGAATCGCGGCACCTTAGACGACTGGGCCACCCGTGCCCCCCTGGAACTGATGGGATATTGATCGAAATACAGTAAGCTACGGTTATAACGAACTCAAAGGGACCACTCATTTTTGTTCGTTGTAACCGTAACTCGTCATGAGCATATACACAGCAACTGGCTGGGACAAAAAACACGTAGTTTACTGTAAAGGGACAGAAGAAGTTATTGCAAGAAGGTCAAGCTTAAATATTGCCTGTTGGATTCGGGTTTCAGCTAATAACAACTCTTCATACCATGTAAATTATCTAAATATTAATAACAAAATATTTTAGGTCAAAGCAATTGAACAATGTAATACTGTGGTTATATTTTGGTCCTAGGCAATGCTTGAAAACGCGACTGGTCAGCACAACAGTTGCATGTTTTCAATTTCGAGTGTAAGGAAAAACGAAAATGATCCATTATTACGTATTGTTATGGAATTCTGGTGCCACTATGAAATAATACATTAGATATAACAATACAAACAATGAAAAGGATTTATGTTTTGTGAGCAGTGTATCCACTTCTAAAAAAATAAATAAATAATCATTGCCACATGGTGGAAGTCTTGTGTATCGCAACTTGGAGGACACAATCTCCTTAGAATAACATGTTCAAACTTGTCTTAATGGCGATATACGATGTCAACAAGACGTGCGTCAACTTTATGTGTGTGAAACGTTAAGGTGTGAAATACGCTAGGCTAATGAATCACGCTCACGCGATTTTGCAAACACGAAAACAACTTGAGACAGATCTTCTGATGCGATCAGAGTATATTCTGTCACAAAAGATGCTTTATTCATATCAATATATTGATAACGGAAAACTGATAATAATTATGATACAAAAGTAATAATTACATAATTGCATTAAATTATTTTATATTGTGCTACTTCCACACACCACCCTCCGATAGAGTGTACACTTAGAGTGCCCGATAGATCTGTGTACATATTTAATAAGGCGATTATGCTTGTCGTAAGAGGCGACTAACGGGATCGGGTGGTCAGGCTGGCTGACTTGGTTGATGCATGTCATCGTATCCCATTTGCGTAGAACGATGCTCATGATATCAACCATTGGATTGTCTGGTCCAGACTCAATTATTTACAGACCGCCGTCATATAGCTGAATGTTGCTGAGTGCGGCGTTAAACAAAACAAACATATTTGATATAGTTGAAGAGCTTAGAGCTAAAAGGGGCCAAAATGTACTTTGGCCCTTTTTGCACATTATTGTATAAATAACATCTATGAGTTCTTGTCTACCTGTGGAAAAAATATTGTATGTTTTCATTGATGCGTTTTTTTAAATATAGCTACTTAAAATTCTATAAAAGTGCCAAAGTCAAGTTTCAAAAGGGCCAAAGTCACTTTGTCAGATTTTGGCCCTTTTAGCTCTTATTTCCGTGTGTGGTTGAGACTGGTTGTCTGGGAGAGATTTTGAAAGTTTGGAAACTTATTATCATATTTCAACTATTTCAACAAAGTTGGCATTAGTTTAAATCATTTAAAAGTACTTCAATAGTATGTGTTTGTACTTTTAGTAGTAGTTTATCAATCTCACATGGTATATCTCATGCAAATGCCTGAGGGACAAAAAGGGCCAAAATACAGACACTGGCCCTTTCCACCGTCACACAAATTAAAAACATAAGTTTATTTCCTTTTTTGAATTTTTTTTATAACAACATTTATATCTCTGCTGTCAGAATGCGTTAACGTCAAGGAATTTATCGGTGAAAAAAAAGTTCATTAACATGCAATATATTATGTGTTTTCATCACTTTTCTCAAAACAGACTCCACATTACATTGGCCCTTGTGGCTCTAAGCTCTTCAAACTGTTGATTCTCAGTTCCCCGTGGAGTCTACAAACGAAGCTGATTTCACATTACCATCTCACCCTACCAGGTACCCATTTGCTGCAGAAGAGAACAAATTCTATGGAGACATAATACAGTGTATAACATGTGGTTCAGTACGTGACAGGACCAAAGCCCCAGAACTCACCGCTGTCTATTGTTGCTATATCACGCTGTCTATCACGGCGGGGGAGACCAGAAATTAGCTTCACACATTGTACCCATGTCGGGAATCGAACCCGGGTCTTCGGCGTGACGAGCTAACGCTTTAACCACTAGGCTACCCGACCGCTCTAATCCAGTTGAAACGGGTTTAGTATTTTGATATTGTTACATGTATCTTATTGTGTAACAATTATTGTAACTGTGTTACACTATTTCCGTTCAGTTGACATGTATTGCATTGATTTGGGGCAATGATTGGTCGTCAGGAATGTGATACTTTTTAATCTAAGCCGTCGTCAGGAAGTTACTATATTTAGGTACTAGTGTAGTGTGTAAACTTCCGGCATACCGTGGACTGTTATGGAATGTTCTGTGGTGTTCTGGAAGCGAGTTGGACCAATATAAGGGGACGGTTGCATGTTTGCATATCTCTCACACATTTGTCCTCTCACACATTTCACCCCACGCTTGTTCATCGCTTTAGTACCAGTTTTCATGTGAGGATCAGTCATCCTTCCTGATTCCCTGCTTAGCCCACCTCGTGGTCAGAAACTTACTACTGTTGCTGCTGGGTGAATATATATTATCCCTGACTTTTGCTATCACCAGTGTATGTTTGTATTTGACACTGCCCACTGCCATCATGGTATTTATGGCCACTGAATGTTGTACAACCACTCTATTGTCTACTGCCATTATACTTGCTGTGCACAGGCCCCTGAAGCAGGATAGTGATACAACTGAAACACTTAAGTTGTGTTCATTGAAATTCCTGCATTCAGATTAGCTGAATTGGTCACGTGTTATTGCATTCATTTCCCAATGAATGTAATAAATTACGCCATGCACACCGAGGCGCACTACTTTTATTACTGCGGAATGTCGGGGAATCCCAATATTACAGTCGAGGGAGTTCCCTTTCGGCTCACGTGTATTGTCATGTACAGGACATGTAGCGACATTCGTGCATATTCATTGTCAAAACTACCCTTTTTTTCCCGCTCGCCTCGGTTCAACTTTCATGTCTAAGGGTTTCATTTCTGACTAGCATTTTTCCTACTGTGTTTTACCGTAATCAGGGAAGTAATGTTTGAATCTTGCGGTAACTGACCATGTTATTTGAAACAGCCGCCTTCTCCCTGACATATTTCTTCCGGTTCGTTACAGTCTGACTGTTGCAGTTCTTTTCGCCTCTTGCCTTAATTGACAGGTCCAATGAACATTGTTTTGATCCCACTCTCCGTTGATTGGCTACTGACTGTGTAGGCGTGTCAAGTTATGTGCATAAATCACCTGATTCATGTCTCGCCACAGTATGTATTCCTACACCTGGAAAGTTTATCAATCTCGTCATTTTTGTCTGTTTTGATATTTACAACTGTTTTTGGTGAAACTATTGTAGATAAAACATGTTTTACGTTGTTGAATTTAATTACAAGCATTGACTGTGTAGATTTTTCGGTTCATTGAGGTATGAATCGAAAAACCAATGTGCAAACTTTCGTATGAATCAGTTTCCACATCAGTTTTTCGATTCATACCTCAATGAAACAAAAAAAAAATACACAGGCAATCCTTAAGTGAATTGTGTGATACATTTGTTGATGGTATACGACCTGTTGTTTGGATGTTGGCTTCACACTAAGTTCTTATGTACAGATTTCTGGATTAACATGGTTTCAATTGGGGAATAGACACCTAACAATAAATGTTATATATTTAGAGTGAGTGAGTGAGTGAGTTTGATTTTACCCTGCTTTTATCAATATTCCAGCAATATCACGATGCGGGGAGGAGGAAACACCAGAAATGGGCTTCACACATTGTACCCATGTCGGGAAATGACCCTGGTCTTCAGCGTGATGAGCGAATGCTTTAACCACTAGGCTGCCGACCTCCCCTTAATATTTAGAGATGAAATACTATATTTATCACCAAATATATAATTCATATTTAACTCAAATGAAATACTACTTTTTGCCAGAACAACTTTCAGTCATATTAGCTTTTCTTGTAAAATAACATGAAAATATAAATTTTGTCACGTCACACGATGAGACAAACAAAGCCAAATATTCATGTTATTATATATTTTTCCACACAAAACTGACAAACCCACACGATGTTAAATGAAAAAAAGACATTCAGAGTTAATTATTTATTTCCACGTGTCTTAGTTCAAATTGCAAACCTTGAAAACAGCAAAGTGTCGCCTTAGATTCCTTTTTCTGCTGCACTGCCTGGTGAAGTGCCTCACTCACACCAACGTCCGCTCCAACATCGTGAACAGTGTAGTTCCAGTAACAAGATCGAATGACTAGTTCATGGGAAAGCAGTGTTTGGTATACATTTGCACACCATTAAACATTATTCCATATAAATATAGACTGTAGCACAATGTGATGCTTTATCAAAGAGTCACGAGTCCTCATCGCTCGCAGGGGTGCACGATCTCGGCAAGCCGATCATCTTCTCTGCTGTCTGAGATGAGGACATCTCATGTATGGCCAATGTGGTGACCGCTGCACCACACGCCACGAGGGCACCTCCAGCAGTGAAAGCACAGTGATGGGCCTGGTCTGTCTCCCCCTAGAAGTAGAGTGAATGAGTGAGTGAGTTGGGTTTAATGCTGCTTTGAACAGTATCCTAGTTATATCATGGTTTGTCAGCATAATGTGGGAGGAAAACCCCAAATGATGCAGGTGCTATACATGGTGGCAAACCTAGAAACAGTATCCCGCCTAACCGGGATTCGAACACACAATCACAGATTTCTGGCGTGCCCAAGGGATGAAAATCTGCACAGTGAATTGGCACCTTAGACAAGTGGGCCACCCGCATTTGTGAGTTGGGTAAACATGTAAGTCATGCAGATGGTAAACACTAGCCACTTGCTGAACCAATGGGTATGGTGCTGGCAAATTAAGGATTATGATATATCAAAGAGAATCTGAGACTGAAACCCATGACAAGAAGTAGATCCTGAAACAGTTCTAGGACATCCATTAGCAGCACCTCAGACCAACGTGCCACCTACCTGCTTAACAAACTGACACCATAAGCATAGGTCAGTAAGTGAAAATCTCAAAAACTGATAAATCAATGAAAGAAGTCCTTGCAATTGTCTCTGTCATTCTTTCAACACTAAAGAGTGAGTGAGTGAGTTAGGTTTAACACCGCTTTTAACAGTATTCCAGTTATATCGCTGCGTGTCAGCTTAATGTGGGAGGAAAGCCCGAAGTGATGCAGGTCTCAGACATTTACCACGAGCACGGGTATGGTGCTGACAAACCTAGAAACATTTTTGGGGCGAACCGGGATTCCAACCCACAAGCATAGGTTTCTGGAGTGCCCAAGGGACGCACCTCTGCACAGCGAATCGCGGCCCCTTAAACGACTGGGCCACCCATGCCTCCTCAACACTAATAGAGAGTCAGCACGTTCATGCCTTCGCCTCACCTCCAACACTTTGACACACTTTCCGTTGATGACATCCCACACACGCACGCTGTCGTCATCACTAGCACTGGCCAGATAGGTTCCGTCAGGGGAGAAGGCCAGAGCTTGGACCCATCCCTCGTGGCCCTCACACACATGGAGGACACGCCCGGTCCGTGGGTTCCACATCCTCACCGTCTTGTCCCACGACCCTGAAGCCTGCAACACCAACAACTTCAAATACGCACATCCAGCAGGGGATCCTAAACTCTCAGCTCATACTGTAAAATGTGCTGAAAGTCACTGCACGCATTAAAACTGATAATTTCACAAATAATATATCATGTCATATTCAAATATCTTTCAGGTTCCTATCAGCGAGCGAGTGAGTGAGCCGGGTTTAACTCTTTTGAACAGTTTTACAGTTACATGACAGCATCTCAGCTTGATGTGGGAGGAAAGACCAAAGTGATGCAGGTCTCAGATGTTTTGCAACTTTGGTGAAACCCATGAGCATGTGTAGGGTGTTGACAAACCAAAAGATAATCAGATTGGAACCCAGGTTTTTGGCATGATGAGCGAACACCTTAATATCTAGGCTACCCCACCATCCCTTCTTCAGATATCAGAAAAAGCTTCCTGAAAACCACTAAAATCAACCATTTGACCAAAAACACATAATGTATCGCCACTGTAAAAGGGATGACATCTGCTTCAATGACTCCTGGTTGACAAAATGTGAAAAAAAAAAAAATAATGGAAGTTGTTCAGATAAATATTAATCAAATCTGAGCTAAAATTAATGTTGTATCCGTTTTGCCAAGTTAGATGGCACATCTTTTTCAATTTCAGGACTGAGAAAAAAAAGAGGATACAGAAATTATAAAGGAAGTATTCCTGCGCAGTGAAAAGTTCAAAACAATTCTGGTATCCATTCCCATTCAACAACATTTTTCAACCAATCAAATCGAAGAACAAATAAGCATTCATTTTACAATGCAGTAGAACATCATCTGCACTGACCAGCATCCCGTCCTTGGAGAAGGCGACAGCGTGGATGTTCCCCTTGTGCCCAGACAATACCTTCACCCCCTCCCTCGCCCCTGGGCTGGGGGTAGGGGTGGGGCTTGGTGTAGTGGAGGGAACAGGGGTATGTGATGATGTTGATGCCTGTGTTAATGCTCCATCCGCTGATGTTGATGCTGACATGGATGAGGATGTAGATGCTGATGCTTGAGTTGATGCTGTGGCTGTGGATGTCATTGATGCAGTTGGTTTGGGCAGATCCCATACTCTAATAGTAAAATCCCAGGAACCAGTTGCCTGGACATAAAAGTGAATTTCATGTATACTGATGGAACAAAAAGGAGACAGGAGTAAAATAGCAGACAAATGTTCATTGATGTTTTCAGTACAGTACATCAGTTAACACGGCTTGTCACAGAGTAAAATGTCAGTATCAATATTGTGTTCTTATGTATTCCCCAACCCATATCCCCTTCCTCAATATGCCTCCCCCCCCCCAAAGCATAAAACCAACTCTCTTGTAATCACTTTAAACAGGGTACACATTCACAACAGTCAATCGGGGCACATGTGTTCCTCAAAAGACTTTTAAAATGAAGTGTTTAATTTTGCAATTCCATTTTGATAAATATTGTAGCCATATTCTGCAACATATTATTCCACTTGCCTTGTTGCGTGCCATCTCAAGAACCTGGAATGTCTTGCAGCAAAACCCTGGCAAAACTTGTCATTTTGATTGGTTGTTGATTTCAAGATCATGAGGAAGATTTGTTTTTTCATTTGTTTGTTTGCTGTTTAACGCCACACTCAGCAATATTCCAGCTATATGACGGCGGTCTGTAAATAATCGAGTCTGGACCAGACAATCAATTGATTGACATCATGAGCATCGATCCACACAATTGAAGCGATGCAGAATCAACTGTCCCAAGCATGGTTCCCTGCAGACAGACTGACAATCCACATTCGCACTGTGACCCCATCCCCAACCCACCCACCCAAACCTTCCCTCCCCCCATCAGTATCCTCACATAGTGCCCTTGACAATCATGCTTCTCCATTTTTTAACTTACGATCCATTTCCCATTGGGGGAGAAAGCGATGGACTGCACCAGGTTCTCGTGCCCCGTGAATATCCTCACACCACCACCAGACTGCAAAAACAACATCTCTACAATACCCAAAGGGTAATTGATTTGTCACTAAGAAATATTATTTTTCCTTTATACTGATTTGCTGAGTGACACAAAGCTGCCTATGATGTCAATAAGTCCATATTTGACTTCAGACCCTGACATGTACAATACAGCTCATGACTTGCCAAACTATCTTACTTGTGACAGATAATCCAAAGATCCTTGTTGAAGGCCAGGGTGTTGTTGTACAAAGTGATCTTAGCGCTAAGGTGATCATAACTTCCATACCTTAACACAGACTTATGAAAATCGTAGCGCTAAGATTGTTTTGTACAACGGCACCCAGGGGCGGGTTACACAAAGCAATCATAGTGCTAAGACGATCGTAACTCCCACAGACTTACGACTGTCGTAGCGCAACGATAGCTTTGTGGGTCCCAGAAGTTATTTTCTGGTTGCAGAGCTTCACATACTCTATTCATTTGCGAACAACTGGTATCATCACTATTTGATAATGATTCATAAACACATGCTTATGATATAGTTGGAAGAGATTTCTATTGAATAAATGACATGTTTATAAGACCTTACATCAGTTTATACTTTAGATTTCATTAAATTTCAGTTAGGGACACTTTTTCAAAAAAATTAAATTGGGCGACAGTCAAATGTTTATCTTGTTTTTAATTTCAATCTTCACCTGCTCCAACCGAAATTCACAATTGTGTAGGGACACACATCCATGGCATCACAACCTTTCATGATCATGAATAGCATTGCTGATTGGCAGGATATTGGTTTCAAGAAAGTGTAAATTACAGAAATAACCAAAAATAAAAGAAATATACTGCAATATTAATGTGGAACAAGAGGCAAATTTTGTATGAAAAGATATATAAAAAAATAGATTTTTTTTTTATGGCCCAAGTGGAAATACATTTAATTGACATTGTCTTCAGAAAAAAAGCCAGTAGAAAATGTGTAAGGTAAACATTCATACTTTGTTTTTAGTGGAGTCAAAATCCTTATGCTTTCGCTATTTGTGAAAGTTGTGTGGAGGTATGTTAAAGTATGGTAGTTACGATCATCTTAGCGCTAAGATCGCTTTGTGCAAGTGGGCCCTGGACCCATTTGCACAAAGCAATCTTAGCGCTACAATAATCATAACTCCCATACTTTTACATAGGCTTACAATAGTCTTAGCGCTAAGATCACTTTGTGCAAGTGGACCCAGGTGATAGAAATGGTATTGATGGGTCAAAATGTAAGGTTTTGTATTTTGGTTAGGTTTGTTGTTTAACGCCACGCTCAGCAATATTGCAGCGATATATAGCCTCTTAAGACAAGCATAGTCGCCTTTTACAGCAAGCATGGATTGCTGAAGACCTATTCTACCCCGGATCTTCACGGGTCGCAATTGTCAGGATGAAATTTCAGCAACAATTCTCTTGTTTTAGTTTCTTTACCCATCATTTATACATGTACACAGACTGTGACAGACATATACTGCTGGTATTGTCAAATGTGGTTAACATTCAATGCATTTGTAGGGTTACTGTGTGTATATGATTTTGATATGAGTAACTAAAGCAAGCAGGCTATCAGTTACCTCAACATCCCACAAGATGGCAGACCTATCCCATGATCCCGAGCACAGCAGAGCGCCATCTGGTGAGAAGACAACCACCTCCACACTTTTGGTGTGACCTGGCAACAGATATGTTTACATTCATAGGTCAACTACTGTAGATGATATCTATAAAGGCATTCCAATACTGATCTACTGTAACTGAAGTTATATATAATGAAGTGATAGTGGAGGTAGTGAAATAACTTAGTAAAACTTCAAAGAGTGAGTGAGTGAGTTGGGTTTAACACCACTTTTAACAGTATTCCAGCTATATCACGGCGTGTCAGCTTAATGTGGGAGGAAAGCCCAAAGTGATGCAGGTCAGATGTTAACCACTTCGGTGAAACCCACGAGCACGGGTATGATGCTGACAAACCGAGAAACATAGTCAGGCGAACCTGGATCCGAACCCACAATCATAGGTTTCTGGCATGCCAAAGGGACGCAACTCTGCTCTGCAAATTGCAGTGCCCTAGACAACTGGGCCATCCATGCCCCCTCCAACTTCGAAGAAACTAAAATGTTTTAGTTAATAGTCTGGGTCTTCAGCGTGACGAGCGAACGCTTCAACCAATAGACAATGTACCTGAGGAAGTGAGTGAGTGAGTATGGTTTTACGCCGCTTTAAGCAATAGTCCAGCAATATCACAGCGGGGGACACCAGTAATGGGCTGCACACATTGTACCCATGTAGGGAATCGAACCCGGGTCTTCAGCGTGATGACCGAACGCTTCAACCACTAGACAATGTACCTGAAGTGATAACTGTAGCTGAAAATCTACTCACGATAACAATAATTAGAGACTTATAATGACATTTATGAAATGATATTTTTTGGATGAGTAGGTGTGTTGACTTCCAGTTCAGGATAAGTCATCTGAAGCTGCTCCTGCTGCACATGCCTTTTAGGAGATGCAGCAGTGAGGCATCTCGCATCCTCCACACCCGTGCAGTCTTGTCATACGATCCACTCGCAAAGTGGCGACAATCAGCAGTAATGGCCACACTCTTTATTGCCCCTGAAAGAAAATATAAAAGCAAATACTTTGTGCAATATTTACAAGGAGCCTCAAAATGAACTTCTGTTTCTGGAAACATGCTTTAAAGATAGGGCAAAGGTTACAATATAACATTACCAAAACAAGAAGGCAAAGGTTACAATATAACATTACCAAAACAAGAAGGCAAAGGTTACAATATAACATTACCAAAACAAGAAGCTAAAGGTTACAATATAACATTAACAAAACAAGAATATTATGAACAACATGTCCAGAAAGCAATTAGGTTTCTTTTTCTTTTTCTGGAACAAACTATAGCAGGACCTCCATCCAAGGTTCAGTCCCATAATGACATGGCATACATCACAGTGTCAGTCTCATAATGACACAACATCCATTAAAGGGTCTGTTCCATAATGACACGACATCCCTCAAAGGGTCAGTCCCATAATGACACAACATCAATTAAAGGGTCGGTCCCATAATGACACAGCAACCCTCAAAGGGTTAGTCCCATAATGACACAACATCAATTAAAGGGTCAGTCCCATTATGACACAACATCCCTCAAAGGGTTAGTCCCATAATGACACAAAATCAATTAAAGGGTCGGTCCCATAATGACACAACATCCATCACAGTGTCAGTCCCATAATGACACAACATCCCTCAAAGGGTCAGTCCCATAATGACAACATCAATTAAAGGGTCAGTCCCATACTGGCACAGCGTCCATCACAGTGTCAGTCCCATAATGACACAACATCCATTAAAGGGTCTGTCCCATACTGGCACAGCGTCCATCACAGTGTCAGTCCCATAATGACACAACATCCATTAAAGGGTCTGTCCCATACTGGCACAGCGTCCATCACAGTGTCAGTCCCATAATGACACAACATCCATTAAAGTGTCAGTCCCATAATGACACAACATCCATTAAACGGTCAGTCCCATAATGACCCAACATCAATTAAAAGGTCAGTCCCATAATGATTTGTTTGTTTGTTTGTTGTTTAACGCCGCACTCAGCAAAATTCAAGCTATTATGGCGTCAGTCTGTAAAAGTAATCGAGTCTGGACCAGACAATCCAGTGTAGTGTTACTGAGTAAGTATCTTCAACAGACATGTCTGCGACATTGAAAAATAATCATTGTTATTCCACAATATATACATGCATTGGAGGATCAGAGAAAAACGTTTTGTGATGAGAGAAGCAAGAATCAAAACGAATGACAAACTACTTGGGACATGAACTTGAATAATAAAAAAATGTTTAAAAGGAAACACTGATCTGCTACAGTAAACTGGACAAAATACATTCGCCAACATTCAGTTCATAGGATCCTTAGTTGTACAGAGCAGTTAGAAGGAAAATCAGGAAAGACAATTGCATTCTGGTAATTGTGACCTAGAGGAATAGATTGAAACAGCACTATGTTACAAATTCACTTCTAAGGGGGGACACGGGTGGCCCAGTCATCTAAGGCGCTGCAATTTGCAGAGCAGAGTTGCAGAGTTGCGTCCCTTGGGAACGCCAGAAACCTGTGATTGTGGGTTTGAATCCCAGTTCACCCTGATTACATTTCTAGGTTTGTCAGCACCATCCCCGTACTTGTGGGTTTCACCGAAGTGGTAAACGTCAGAGACCTTCCTCACTAATCCTCCCACATTAAGCTGACACGCCGCGATATAACTGGAATACTGTTAAAAGCGGCGTTAAACCCAACTCACTCACTCACTTATAAGGACATAGCCCTCTTTTCAGAATACAAGTAGTTCCTACGAATAGAACCATACACATGTGGGTTTCAGGTTTGTACATGTTTTCAAAAAATTTTAAAAGGCTGTTATTTTGTAGAAACTCGAGAAAACTCACAGACTGAAAATGACAGGCTTTTTATAGTTTTCAACTGAATAGCAAGACTGATGTGTACATCACAGCAACTGATTCAATTCCAGCAATTTGTGTATGAATTAAAACTCATAACCCTGAAATTACTTAGGAATGGAATATTTAATATTATGCGGCTGCAGGATGTTTGGGCAAGGATTATTTGTATGTTATGGAAATATAAATAAAATATTTAGATTATATATATTGATAAACATATTACTTCATATATTTCACGATGTACATAATAAATCTAAATATGGCAGCCAAATGATATGTACATTTCAAATATTGGTCATATGGGACTCCGATGACATGTTTATTTCCTAACATGCATTAATTTGGGCAACACCGTCATTTCATGTCCTGTTCTCTGATGCAAGTGCAATGATCTTGTGAGCATAGCTTGGCCTAAGAAGGGTATGATGTACTCTAAGAAATGGAACTAGTCCCTGAGATCAAGTGTATACTGGCATCTGTGGAAATTCGAATTCCTCCAACTTCGGCATTTTAAAGAATACAGCAGCTCTTTCTGCTCTGAGGTAGAGGAATGTGTTGTTTGATAGTGATTATTTAGAAGAGAAATAAGGGTGAAAATCTCTCAACGGAAAATATCTTCAACTCCTTCTGAGTCCCTGGGGTCAGAGATAATCCTTGGGGATGACAAAGTCTAGTGTAAGGCAGCCGGATCAACCAAAGGATCCATGTGGTCATCATGCATGTCTTCGTCCGAGGGTGACTGCGACTGTGAGGGTGAATGATCAAGCCCATTGAGTGCGAGACTCTAAACTATATGGAGCGGTTCCCGGATGGTCGGCTTGGTTATGATTGCCTTCACTATGGTCCTGGGGCGTTCGGGTAGCCTAGTGGTTAAAGCGTTGGCTCGTCACGCCAAAGACCCGGGTTCGATTCCCGATATGGGTACAATGTGTGAAGCCCATTACTGGTGTCCCCCGACGTGATATTGCTGGAATATTGCTAACAGTGGCGTAAAACCATACTCACTCACTCGCTCACTCACTCACTCACTCACTCACTCACTCACTCTCTATAGTCCTTATCTTGGTAGCTGAATTCTGAGTGCTTCTGATTGCTTCTGAGTGATTCTGATTGCTTTTGAGTGCTTCTGATTGCTTCTGAGTGCTTCTGATTGCTTCTGAGACCTTCTGAGACCTTCTGAGACACCAGTGGGATCCGTGCGGTGACCCTGAAGACCTGTTAATGGACAGTGGCTCGGCTCCTGCCAGGTCCATATGGGTCCCGTATGGCGACCATGACGATGTGCTGTGCTTAAGCGACAAGGTGCACATTTGATCCATGCAGTAGGTTGGCTGGACAGTTGGCTTCCCATGCATTGGTCCTGGTTACCATGTGGAGACCATGGCTCTTGGGGAAGTAATGCTGACTCACAGGCTTCGACCTGGTTGGTCAGTCGGTGACAAGATGAGAGCACCCTCAGAGGCCATGAGTCAGTAGACGGGAGAGGATTATCCGGCTGATTATATTGACTGATACCCTAAGTCTAGTCCTGCACCATGACCGTGGAATATATTTATTTTATGAAAAAATAATAATCTAGAAATGCAAACAAAAGCAAGTCTAGCCAGCTCAAGCTAGCTCTATTCCACATCAGCATGAGAATTTTTTTATTTTTAGAGTCAAGAAGGATATTGTGTAATATAAAATTTCAGAGACTAAATGTTAGTCTACCCTAAGTCTTGCTGCTCGTTTTCTGTTTTTTACCTAAATGACCTTTGACTTAACAAAAAAACTCTCCAGTTCTGGCATTGAAGATATCCATACTACCATCTCGAAATCTGAAGTCTGCTTATTGAATGAAGAAGCACCATTAGAACAGTAAAAAATATATAATCTGGACCCCAATACAGATTGCAATACAGCTCTCCATATTGCGGTATACTGCAATACAATTTTTATGTGCCAATATGTCCACCCATCATAACAGCATATATGCTCATGTCACAAACATGGTTACTATTTGAAGATTTAGAAAGAAAGAAAACAAACCAAATTGCCTGCATATTGACTGATACTCTAAGTCTTACTGCTCGTTTTCTGTTTTTTACCTGAATGACCTTTGACTTTACAAACAAACTCTCCAGTTCTGGCGTTGAAGATTCGAATTCTCTCGTCATCAGATCCAGTTATCAGGATCTGGAAATCATTGGAAAAAGCCACGCAGTTTACCTGAAACATAACACAGGTGTTAGGCTAAAAAAATAATAGTCTTGGTTCTCAGGCACTGCCCACATCATTATAAAGTTTGCCACACATTCCATTTTTCTTTCCATTTTAATTTTTTTTTTAAAAATGCAACGGTAGTCAAATACTATTTTCCACTATCTTACTCATCAAGGAATACATTTATGTAGGGAGGCCCTTTCCCAGGTTGATTGTACACAATTGTAGATTTGCTGTGAACACCCAGTCAGCAGAGACCATCTACATGAGGGTCCTGATGGGTTTTAATGCTTAACGTAATACACACTTCAAACACTATCGTAAACGTAAAATTCATCTTTTTTTTTATCGTAAATGCTTATCGTAAAATACCAAAAAATAACTGCTTAACGTAAATAAATAATTTACTGCTTATTGTAAAATGATTAAATGGGTCAAAAACAGTCTGTCTTTAAGACCCCAATGCTTCGCCACAGAAAGCAGGCTGCGCTACTGACGCAGGGTACCAGTCTAGAATGTTTAGCGATTTGAGATTTTACCCGGTATTAAAAATATGAATTGTCAGGATGAAACGAAAGCAGAATTAAAAGTCCCATGTCCTGCCATGGCTGATTTAGGAATTTTTCGCGACGATTTTATTGAAAAAGAAGAAAAATTACTGTTTAATGAAAAAGTACCCTAAATTTTACTGCTTACTGCATATATTATGAAACCCACCTATCAGGACCCTCCTACATGGATGGACATGATGGAACATTCACTTCCTGTCCTGCACTCTGGGATCAAGTCTATATCCTGTATGTCAGACGCGGAACTGTCAACTATCCCCTTATATTGACCCTGTCATTGTGTGCATAAATAAAGTACAAGTTTACTTTTCTACTTTTCTTGGGTCACTCCATTCTAATATTTAGGTAACATAGGGTAGACCAGTCAATGCCTTCAGCCATGCCCTATATTGTCATGGGAGGATACCAGTCAATGGCTCTTGTCTTCTTCACTCTGAGTGACTGAGTGAGGTTTTAGGCCCCTTGTAGCAATATTCCTGCAATATTACGGTGGGGGACACCAGAAATGGGCTTCACACATTGTACCCATGTCGGGAATCGAACCCGAGTCTTCGTTGGACAAGCGAACGCTTTAACCACTAGGCTACCCGACAACCCCTCTTCACACTGAAAAATGATGATTGTTTTTCTTTCTGCACCTCATTATGGCCGAAAGCAATATTTGGTATGAGAGGGTATCGAAAGAATTTCAGTCTAGCACACATAGAACTGAAATATGTAGTGAGCTTTGATTATTTTTCGACATTAAAGTTCTTTGGCAGCTCTAAAAATTAAAACTAAGAAATTACTTTATATTCATTTTCGTCCATTTCATCATGTTCGTTGCTGAGGAGTAGGATACATCTGAGTCAAAAGTTAATGATTAAAGTCAAATGATTAACATCATGAGCATCGATCTACGCAATTGGGATGACATGCATCAACCAAGTCAGCGAGACTGACCACCCAATCCCTTTACTTGCCTCTTACCACAAGCATTATAAGTCGCCTTTTACGTACGGGAAGTATGGATTGCTGAAGACCTATTCTACCCCAGATCTTCATGGGTCAACACAGGTCAGTATAGACTTCTGTCACACGTGAGCATACAATTGACAATACAACCAAGTTGTAACAGGCTCCAAACTCTCTGATATCCCGGTAATATCAAACTTTTGTCATAGAGAGAGGGGGGTGGATGGGGGGGGGGGAGGGAGATGAGGTTTTTCCAAACAAAAAATAAAATTCACCTCCTACCCCCCTCCCAAAAATGTAAGAGCTTTTATTTATGCGTGTTAGTTTCAATATGCCAAATACACTTTTATGTCAGGTACAAAACCTTACAAATAGCGTGCTGGTTTTCTTGGGGGAATAAGTCAGCAAAGAGCCGGAGTCACAGGAGACTAATTACAATTTTATTTACAAGAACAATTAACAATGAACAATTAATCTTTTAAAATATAGCTGAGGGTGCCACAGAGAGTCGGTACAACCCTCTCCGCTGTTAGTGAGAGGTCTGCTTGGATAGAGCATAAACCCCTTCTGTTTAACATTTTGCTTCTGTATGTAATTACAGTATTCGACGCAATAAGCACCCCGCTCTAATAAGCGCCCACAGCAATATTTGCTGATATATTGGCTAGGGAACAATCCCAATTAGCACCCCTTCCGATTGATCATGTGTGATATGCACCCTTAATTATCGGCAATTAGATTCTGGAAAAATATATCTGTCGCACATAAACATAAATTCAGGCTGTCACCATAAACTAGAAATTTATCTTTCACCAACATAATATTCTAATGGGCCCCCTATTTCTAATTTTGAGAGCGCCCTGGGCGCTTATTACGTCGAATACGGTAACAAAAATTAAGAACAATAAAAAGAAATACGATTGGTTGATATATGTGTTCTATGGTTAATTAGTGGCTAGACAGGGGAATACTTAATCCTGTTATCTGTTGGACTGGCACACCACAGGCAACTGCCCCCACTGCAAACAACCCGAAACCACAGAACACGCACTCATCCACTGCACCCACTACCAAACACACAGAACCACACTACAAACCAACCTCAATCTAAATAAGGTTCCTACTCTAGATGAAATACTAAACCCTCAAAATAAACTAGAAAACTTCAAGGCCCTAGGCGTATTCCTAATCAAAACAGACCTAATTAAGCGCATCTAAAAACTAATTATTCTACCAATCCAAAATCCAATAAACATACATACACCCACCTCACCCGGCTCCCTTAGTTCCCTCCTCCACCCACCTCGGCATTTATTCCAAATTTTAAAATTTCCAAAAATCGATATAAGCAACCCCTAAAAGCCCCCTCTTGGGTTGCACACACCACTTTCACCCTTCTCGGAATACACTAAATGGTCTGGCCAGGCCCGTGTGCGAAATACGCTGCAGTCGATAAGCGCACGTTAAATCTTCTATATCAGTCAGTCAGTCTGGACTGGCACTAATCTCATTGACATATTTACTAGTTATTTGGGTGCTTGAAAAGAGATTATGGTATCACTAAAGACGAGCTTGTCTGGGGGCTAATCCTGAATGAGTCTAAATTGAAGTAATTGCTGAATGTTATTCTTATATAGGTGATGACAGATTTACTTAAATAAAATAGTTCTAGGCAATCTATAAGACTATGTAGACATATCTTGTCTTATTGAATAGTATGTCAGGGAGATTTGTTCGCGTTACATAAGGCTAGCATCTATCTAAAAAGCTATAACTGAAACAACTAATATTTCATATCAGTATTTTTCCTTGATTAATATACTCAACAACAAAAGTTCCTGTGACACCAATATTTAAGTGTATTTTTCAAACAAGTAGAGTTTGGTTTTCAATATTGTAGTATTGTATGGAATCAAGTCACAAAAACGCAACTGCTACAGAAAAGCATGCATTCCATGCAAAAGTTGACTTTTATGCAAGCCCCATGCAATTAACTACCCAAGAATGGGTATAAAAACATGTGCGTTAACGGGATTCCATATGCATTGTTTAGCATCGTGCTGACAACAGCCATTCAGAAAAACAAGAAAATTACACAATTATTTAACATTATGAAATGCCCCCCCTGTCCAAAAATGAGCGTCTGTGAGCCATTGCTTACTTGAAGCACGATCGAGTCAACGTGATGTTGCAAGACAATTTAACGTCCACAGAAACACCATTTGGTGTTTATGGCGACGTTGGCAACAGACGAATGCAGTCAGAGACCATCCTCGGATTGGCAGGCCACGTTTAACCAATAATCTACAAGACAACTGGATTCGAACAATACACCTACGAAATCGATTCCAGCCAGCAACAGTGACTGCAAGAAGCATCTCTGGCCTTCTACGAATATCTTCACACACTACGTCGTCACCTCAGATGTGCAGGGATTGTCACCAGAAGACCAGCCAGACGTCCCATTTTGACAGGAAACCACCATCAAGTACGTCTACTGTGGTGCAGACAGCGTCTACGCTGGACGGTCATGTAGTGGGGACAAGTTCTATTCACTGACGAGTCTCGTTTTCACCTCAGCCACAGCGATGGACGGATTCGAGTGTACCGACGTCGAGGTGAAAGTTACGTCAATCATTGTGTCATGGAAGAAGATCTGTTCGGGGGCGGCAGCGTTATGGTATTGGGTGGGATAACAGCAAGACAGAGGACCCGTTTGCTAGTGGTAGAGGGAAATCTCAATGGACAGCGCTACCGCGAAGAGATCTTGTTGTTCTACCGTTTTTGCGTCGTCATGGCCCAGGCATTACCTTTCAACATGACAACACCCGGCCTCATATTGCTCGACTTGTTCAGGATACTCTTCAACAAAACAATGTGAATGTCATCCCCTGGCCGGCTTGCTCCCCTGATCTCTCACCAATTGAGCACATGTGGGATGTGGGATTAGATGGATCGGTGCCCTCGACATCAACCCCGTGTTCCACAGACACTCCAGGAACTTCGAAACATGCTCCAGCAGATATGGACAGATATCCCACAGGACTTTGTGCGACACCTGGTCCATTCCATGAGACGACAATGTGTTGCTTGCATCGCAACCAGAGGTGGGAACACACGCTATTGATTTGTAAATTGACATTTTGGCATGTTCATGTTTTTTATGAAATCACGCATCTTCTGAACACTTACAGGAGTCTTTTATCGGTTGCAAACCGAAATTGTTTCAGATTTGGTAAAAAACATAACTTTGCATTAAATCTTATTCAATGTCACAGGAACTTTTGTTGTTCAGTATATGGACTACTCGCCGCTCTATAATTATATAAAATTTTGTATAAATGTAACACAATGATAACTTATAAAATCCCTTGCTGTGGATCTAATCATAATATGAAAACTAAATATAAATATTATTTACAAAATATTGCCATGGAGACAGAAGTTGTTTTTCCCAACTATAAATACTGCCTAGTGATGTGA